GAGGATCGTGCACGTCCCGCATTCCCAGGCGCTGCTCCCAAGCGCCCCATATCCTCCCAAGCCACGACCCCTCGTTAGAGAACATTGAGATGCGTCCCGATATTCCAAGACGGCCCGTGCAGACAACAAGGGACACCAAGATGGCCCAGGATGCCTCCACGATGGCTGGAAGGCGGCCGAGCATTGCTTCAAGGCGGTCCAAGATGCCTCCAAAAGGACATACAAGAGACACAAGAGGACCTCCAACAGGGTCCGAAGAAACCCAAATCATTGCTTTCCTTTGGGTGCTCGGTTGATGTTCGCATTCTCGCCTTGTCGGGCAGCCGTCAGCTCAAAACGGCCCACGGGGACTCCACCATAGCCCAAGAAGCATCCAAGACGGTCCCAAGACGGCCCCAAGGCGGCCCAAAAGGGCCTCCCGTGGAACCCAAGACGGCCTTGGAAGGCCGTTGAACGGCCAAAGACAGCGCCAAGACTGCCACACGACGACCCCCAGGCACCCACCATACGCCCAAAAAGGCCCTATGACGGCCAAAGATAACCTCCAACCGGCGTAGGAGGGCCCCAAGACGGCACAAGAGGGCCCCAAGGGACCCCCAAGACTGCCACCCACGAGGCCAACACAGCCACAAGACGGCCCAACCAAGTGTCATCGTCGTCGTCATCATCATCAGCATCAGCATCATCAACATCATCATCATCGGCATCATCATCAGCCTCGCCACCACCATCATCACCATCATCATCGTCATCATCATCGTCATCATCCGCAACACCACCACCACCACCATCATCAACATCACCACCACCATCATCATCACCTTCAACAACATAATCAGCATTATCATCACCACCATCACCATCATCATCATGATCACCACCACCAACACCACCATCAGCATCATCACCATTATCATCACAATCATCATCACCACCACCACCACCACCATCAGCATCATCACCATCATCACCACCACCACCATCGTCATCGTCATAATCATCACCATCGTCATCGTCATCAACATCATCATCACCACCACCACCATCATCATCACCACCACCACCATCATCATCATCATCTTCTTGTTTTGCTGCAGACCAGACACCTTCGGGGGGGGGAAAAAAAAAAAAAAAAAAAAAAAAAAAAAAAAAAATGTCCGCTTAATTGCTTGCCGACGAGGGAACGAGGGAAAGGAGGAAGACTAGACCGAGGAGGACGCAACTACGAGCCCAAAACGCAGAAACGACAAAGCGGGAGGACAGGAAACGAAAAGAAAGGCGACAGAGCGACGAGACAAGACGACACGAAGCCAAACGACAAGAAAAGAGCGGGTCGGGGGCCACACGTCTGGAGCAAAACTGGGATGAAGGAACAAAAGTCTCCTCAGAATGACGCCACCGGAGTCCACCACAAGGAACCACGCGCCAACCATCACGAAGAAAAGGACCGCCAGCATCAACACCTCCTGCGCGCATCCTGGATGCACGACCGCAGCGCGAGGGAACTCCTCGTGACCACCACGAGGCCCAGGTCAAAAATTGACTCTCACCGAAGAGGAGGAAGCAGTACCCAACTCCAGATTTGAGGTGGAAACAGTTCAGAAAGCGTCCGTGCCAGTCCCATGATTCAGAAGTACGACGCCAGCTCCACCCCATGCACGAGAAACTGCGCGACGAAAGCTGCCCAAAAGTCACGAAGACTCCGATGAAGATGATGAGGAAGAAGAGCCCAGAGACGTGGCCGCCGCCCTGCCGCTGGAGCTGCACGGCGAGGCCCGCGACCCGGAGCAGGCCATGCTGGACGAGGCAGCGAGGGGGCTGAAGTGCCCGGCCCAGCCTCGGCTCGGTGGAGCACCCCCGAGCGCCTCGCAACGCCACCCGCACAGCGCGAAAAAACATGAATACTGGCCAGCCGCCCCAGCTCATGATCATGTCAAGCTGCCCCAGGCCACGAGCCACGAGACTTGGCCAGATCCTGCGGCAGCCCGCTGTCCTAAGCTCGGCCGCGGTCCCGTCGCCAGGGACTGCGCTCCAGCCGCCGCCCTGAGCTGCTCCACCGAGTGGGCCACCTGCGCGTACGCCAGCCCACGCAGCACCGCCTCTCGGCAGCGCCCGGCAATGCCCCGCTGGTGATGCCCCTGCGCCCCGGCCTTGGGGTGAATGAAAACGTCGTCGAGGGCCATACCGCCCGCCGCCAGGGCCCGCACCTCCCCCAGCACCTCAATGTAGGCTGCGCTGCACCGCGGGCAGACGGCCGCCCAGCCACAGGGAGACCTCGTAGGTGTCGAGGTCAGTGGCGGAGGCGTCGAGGTCGATGGCGGAGACGAGGACGGCGGCGAAGTCGAAGGCTCCGACGGCTCGTCGGGGCCCGGTGGGGCCCGCCAGGGCCCGTTGTTGTCGCAGTCCGTGGCGGTGTATCCTCTGGGGGCCTCTCGCCCTTGAGGGCATTCCCCCTCCATCGTCATCTCCTCATCCATGGTGGCAGGACTGGGATCAGACTGCGAGCCCTCGGATGATGCCGCGAACATGCTGGAAGGAGCACCTCGCGGGAGCGCCTCGTCGACGCAGGGGGAGATGAGGTTCCGATCCCGAGCGTCACACGCAGACCAGAACCGGAACGAATCATCCCTGAACTGGAGCAGGCCGACGGGCACGATCTCCTCGTGCCATCACATGTGCAGCAGATCGCCTTCAGTAGAGTCCTCGCACGGTGCTTCCGCAGGCAAGCCCGCCTGCGCATCCAGCGTCGCGAAGTCCAACCCCGCCACATGGGCGGTATGCAGCACATCCTCCAAAGTACTAGTACGAGTACCAGCCAGAGGGCCTGGAACGGACCCTCTGGAAGCGACTAAACTCTCGAGCGTCTTCATTCGCTCCAGTCGGGCACGAACTCCGGCTGCCCCGAGTCGAAATCGGCGTCACCACCACCACCACCATCACCACCATCACCACCACCACCACCACCGCCACCCCCACCACCACAACCACCACCACCGCCACCGCTACCCCCCCACCACCACCACCACAACCACCACCATCATCATCATCATCATCATCATCATCATCATCATCATCATCATCCTCATCCTCATCCTCATCCTCATCCTCATCATCATCATCATCATCATCATCATCATCATCATCATCGTCATCATCATCATCATCATCCTCATCATCATAATCATCATCATCATAATCATCATCATCATCAGCAGCATCATCACTATCATCATCATCATCATCATCATCATCATCATCATCATCATCATCATCATCATCATCATTATCATCATCATCATCATCAGCAGCAGCAGCATCAGCAGCATCAGCATCAGCATCATCATCATCATCAAAATCGTCATCCTTACCACCACCACAACCACCACCACCATCATCATCATCATCATCATCATCATCGGCAGCAGCAGCATCATCACTACCACCACCACCATCATCATCGTCAGCTGCATAATCATCACCACCACCAATAACATAATCATCATCAGCAGCAGCAGCATCATCAGCAGCAACATCATTGTGATTATCATCAGCATCATCATCAGCAGCATCATATTTATCATCATAGTCGATATTCGTCATCATGATCAACATCATCGCGATCACAACTAACATCATCATCGTCATCATCAGATTAATCATAATCATCATCAGCAGCATCATCATCATCAGCCTCATCCTCCTCACAATCATTACCACTACCAGCATCGTCAGCATAATCATCGTCAGCTTCATCAGAATAAGCAGAATCACCGCCGTCATCACCACCATCATCAGCAGCAGCAACATAGATTACAATCATCACAAGCACATTCATCAGTGTCAGCATCAGCAGCATTATCATCAATAGTCATTAGCATGAACAGCAGAATCATCAGCATCATCATCAGCATCATCAGCATCATCACTACCAACATCAACGTGAGCAGAATCGCCATCGTCATCAGCATGAGCATCAACAGCATCAACAACACCATCGTCATCAGTAGCGTAATCATTATCGGCTTCATCAGCGTAATCAACATCAGCAGCACCATCATCACCATCACCATCAGCGTCAGTATCATCATCATTATCACCATCACGATCATCAGCATCATCATCACCACCATCATCATAATCATCACCATCATCACCACCACCATCATCATTCCCATCACCCTCATAATCCTCATCATCCTTATCACGACTCCCCCAAGTCTGGAGACACGAGGTGTCACACGTGACGGTCTCCCGTGCCCCCTCGGACACTCGCCACCCAGAATGCTGGGCTGGCACTGAGTCGGGACTTGCCGCAGGCAGCTGAGTGTGTGTATATCTATAGAGTAGAACCATCGCGCGCGCTTCGCGCGCGCTCAAGTTCTAGCTAGGCCTGATAGGCTAACTCATGTAATCTCATTTTGGTCGCTTCTTGCGTCCAGGGACTCCCTTGGAGGTCCTGCGCAAGCCTCGGAATCGCATAGACGGGGAAATGCGGAAACGCAGAAATCATGAATTTCCTGCAGGTATTCAACGATTTGGGGCCCTCAAAGGCTTCCTGGGTTCTTTTTTGGAAGGTGAGGGGGGTCTGAATTATGGTCTGTTGTGCACGAGTGAACCGGGGGCCAAACTTGACAAAAAAAAGAATTGTGGGATTCTAATTGTTGTTCCGGTTCCTCGGCGCTGTTCGGCGCTGTTTTTTGTTTGTGCCTCGCGGGTTTTGTTAGCCGGGCCCCTTAGGGGTGTGGGATCTTCTGGACCCCCTAGGGGTTCTGGAGGCCTCCTGGAGGCCTGGAGAGCCGTCGGAAGGATGTACTAAGGGAACCTGTGCTGCACCCTGTCTTCTATGCTGAGGCTATATGTGTGAAGAGACGCGGGATCAGCCAAGCTGATTGGCAACCGAGACTGGTATGGACGAGGACGGCAACAGCAACAACAACCACGACCTCGACGACCTAGACGACGACGACGACGACGACGACGACGACGACGAGCGGGGTGTCCTATGCGCTTCGCGTGGCCGCACGCGGAGATGGCGGCGTTGTAGGCGTAGCATGTGGCTGTCATCCCGCTGTCCTGCATCTCCTGGTCGGCGGCGTCCTCCTCCTCCTCCTGCGCATCCTCCTCCCCTCTCTGTAGCTGCGAAGTGGAGGCGTGGCGATAATAAGGGGAATCATGTTGCACAGAAGGTACACGCAACCCATTCATGACGAGCGGGTGGGTTTATGAGTTGGGCAGGTTGGCAACGCTGGTCTTCCAGGCTGGTTGCGGGCCCTCCTTGTGCTCACTCTTGGTACCCTTCTGAGTTGTGCCCCGCACCCCCAGCCTCCAAGTCCAAACAAGTCGCTCTCTAGAGATCCAGGGGCCCTCTCCAGACCTCTGATGGCCTCAGGAGGCTCTTCTACCCCCTCCTCCTCCTCCTCCTCCTCCTCCTCCTCCTCCTCCTCCTCCTCCTCCTCCTCCTCCTCCAAGGATCGTGTGGGTCCAGGAGGCGGGCGCCCAAGGGGGGGGGTCGCAAACAATGGCCCGAGGCACGCGTGCGCACGAGAGGGGCGGACATGTCGACGCTGCTGAAGAGGAGGAGGAGGAGGAGGAGGGCCACCAGATCTGGGGAGACGTCGTGTCCCTCGGCATGGTATCCCCCCTCCCCGAATCCTCTGCAACCTTTGCAATGCGGCCGTCGCTCCCGCGACGTGGCCGGCGCTCCCCTCCCCGAATCGTCATCCCCCTCCTGGACCACCCCAGGAACGACCAGAGAAGCAGGGCACAGCGGCAGAGACTGATGGAAAGCCGCAGACGGCAGAAACCGAGGGGAAGCCCGCAGACGATCTCTCCGCTGGCGCCGGAGCCACCTCCCTGCATCTCCCTCGGCAGCGACGATAGGGGCGAATAGCCCAGAGGCGGGCATTACACGTATTCGCCCAGGAGCCTTTTCGACATAAATCATCGGCGCATATGAATACGTCTATTGCTCTCCCCTGGGCTATTCGCCCCTATCGTCGCCTCTGACTCCCCCCCTGGCTTGGCGCGGGGTGCGGGCGGGGGCCAGCGCAGGCGCAGCCAGGGTGGAGAACGGAGCAAGTCCCTGAGCTCAGGTGAGGCTGCCCCCACCAGGGCCCCCCTGTATTGAAAAAAAATGAAACATCGGATGCCTGGGAGCCTGACCCATGCTCAGCTGTACGCAGAAGCTCTCCCATTCTGCTCCCTGCTCCTGCCTGCTCCTGCTGCTGTTCCTCGTCCTCCTGCTCCTCCTCCTCCTCCTCCTGCCCCTCCTCCTCCTCCTCCTCCTCCTCCTCCTCCTCCTCCTCCTCCTCTTCCTCCTCCTCCTCCTCCTCCTCCTCCTCCTCCTCCTCCTCTTGCTCTGTTTAGCTAGCGCAGCGTTTCACCCATTGCCGTTTGTGACTGGTTGGGCTTGATTTCCTGCCCACGCGCCAAAATGACGCATGGCTTGTGATTAAGTGAACGCTTCGCTGCCACGCAGCCCTTTCCCATTCTGCCATACAATGGTGACGGTCAAAGAGCCACTGTCTGCACCATCTCGGCGCAGCTGACATCAACTATGGCCCGCGCAGTGACCAACGACAGATTGCTCCGATGGCGGGCGCACATACTTACAGCCTGAACTGGGTCGGCAGGCCTCCTCATTGGCTCAAAGTGCTGCTCCTTAGCTTTTTGCCCATATCTCACTCGAGGGCGCACCACCGAGCTGCTGTCCCGCAGGCCTCTAGGGTCCGGGTGAGCTTGCGTTCAAGCGCTGCGGGGCTCGCCCTCTGGGCCTCTAACAGATAGAGAGGAAGAGGGGGAGGGGGAGGAGGAGGAGGAGGAGGAAAAGAAAATGGGTAGCTGATAAAAACCGGGGAGGAATTCAACAAAGGAGTTCAAAGACAGGGAGACGCCTTGAACAGGTCCATGGCCGTGTTGCACCACTTGCACTTGCCGCAGACGCTGATCTCCCCCATCACTCGCTGCCTTCTTCGCGAATGCTCTCCCTCCTCGTTCCCAAGCTGTCCTGCGGCTCGCTCAACTCCGACGAATCACCATCACAGAAACTGGTGCGACCGCGATAGCTTTTCGCCGATAGCTGTCGCCATTGTCGGGGATTCCTTGACTCTACCACTTATCATTGTCGACACCACTCATAACAGTTCCGTCGCCATGGTGCTTCCACTTTTTAGCTGCAAACAAGCTGACACATGCAACCACACTGGTGGCAGAAGTAGAAGTGGTACCACTGCTACTACTTCGGCTGTTACCACTGACACCACCACTGCCACTGAGACTACGACTACAGCTCTGCCACCGTGCCGCGAGTCACTGAGTGGAGAGTCAGGCCCACTCCAGAAGAGGAGGATGCTGCGTAACCTGAAACTTTGGGAGCTTCGCCCAGACTTCTTGGATCGGTGCTGGAGGTGAGCTGCATGGGGCGCATGTGCTCTTTCGTGCCGATGCGCCGTCCAAGCTCCAGGCTTGCCTGCCGACCGCACCCGACCTCCCTCGCCGTCGAGCTGTCCACAACGACCGACGCGAGGCCTCGCCCCGCCCCCGGCCCCGGCCCCGGGCCCCGCCAGGGTTCCGTAGGTGTTCGCGTCGGGGGCCAGCTGCGGCGGGGAGGGGGTCCCCGAGCCGCCCGTGCCGGCCGACGCCGCGAGAGAGGGCAATGGGGGGAGAAAAGGGGACGGCACGGAGGGAGGAAAAGACTCAAGATTGGAGGGGGTAGGGGGGGGGGGGAAGAAGGGAGGACGGGGCGAGCCCATGGGCGCGTCATGGGCACGTCGTGCGCGCTGGCTCGCGTTTCAGGACGCACCCATACCTTCGCAACCCATGTATGGATTCCCCATATCCTAAGATGGGGTTCTTGTTGTTTCTTGGACACCGCCGACTCCAGAGAACAAGAACACACCCAGAACACAGACTTACTCATACACAGACTTACTCATACTCAGACGTAGTCATACACAGACTTACTCATACCCAGGCGTACACCTACACAGACTTACTCATACACAGACTTACTCATGCTCAGACTTACTCATACTCAGACCCACTCATACTCAGACTTACTCATGCCTATACGACCACCCTTCGGGTGATAAGGAGGTTCGGGGGGGGGAGGAAGCAACGTCTCACTCGATCGGTCTCACTATCGATCTCACTATCGATCTCACTATCGGTCTCGCTCGATCAATCTCACTCGATCGATCTCACAATCGATCTCACAAACGATCTCACTCGATCTATTTCACTCGATCGATCTGACAATCGATTTGACTATCGATCTCACAATCGATCTCACTGTCGATCTCACAATCGATCTCACATTCGATCTCACTATCGATCTCACCATCGATATTACAATCGATCTCACAATCAACGTCATCATCATCATCATCACCATCATCATCACCATCATCATCATCATCATCATCATCATCATCATCATCATCATCACGATCATCATCATCATCATTATCATCATCATCATCATCGTCATCAACGTCATCAACATCATCATCACCATCATCATCATCACCATCATCATCGGACACCATCATCAATATCACCTCATCACCATCATCATCAACATCATCATCATCATCATCACCATCATCATCATCATCATCACCATCATCATCATCATCATCATCATCATCATCATCATCATCATCATCATCATTATCATCGGGACACCATCATCGTCACCATCATCATCATCATCAACATCATCATCGGGACACAACCATCATCATCATCACCATCATCGGAACACCACCATCATCATCATTATCATCATCATCATCATCACCATCATCATCATCATCATCATCATCATCATCTCATCATCATCATCATAAATAACATCATCAGCAGCATCATCATCAGCAACATCATCATCATCATCATCATCAACATCATCACCATCATCGGGACGCCATCATCATCGTCACCATCATCATCATCACCATCATCATCATCTTTGGGACACCACCATCATCATCGACATCTGCATCATTATCACCATCATCGGGCAACCATCATCAAAATCATCATCATCACCTCATCAGCATCCTCATCAACTTCATCATCATCGGGACACCATCATCGTCATCATCATCAACATCATCATCATCGGGACACCATCATCATTATCATCATCATCATCATCATCAACAGCATCAACATCGACCTCATCATCATCATCATCATCATCATCATCATCATCATCATCATCATCGGGACACCATTACCATCATCATCATCAACATCACCATCACCATCATGATCATCATCTTATCATTATCAACATCATCAGGATCATCAATATCACCATCACCATCGGGACACCATCATCATCATCATCAGCAGCATCGTCATCATCAACATCATCATCATCGGGACACCATCATCATCACCACCATCACATCATCGTCATCATCATCATCGTCAACATCATCATCATCGGGACACCATCGTCATCACCACCATCACCATCATCATCATCATCATCATCGTCATCATCATCATCATCATCACCATCACCATCATCATCATCATCATCATCAGCATCAGCATCACCACACCACCACCACCACCACCACCACCACCACCACAACCACCACCACCACCACCATCATCATCATCATCATCATCATCATCATCATCATCATCATCATCATCATCATCATCATCATCATCATCATCATCATCATCATCATCATCATCGGGACACCGACGGGACACCGGCGGGACACTGCGCGCCACTGGCCCCCGGACAAGAAACATTTGGTACTGCCGCGCCTCAGCCGGAGGCGGGACACCGGCGGGACACCGCGCGGCACCGGCCCCTGGACAGGAATCATTTGGTCCGGCCGCGCCTTAGCCGGAGGAGACTTTCTTCTCGCCCGCCCACGCAGCTTCGCCTCGCCCGCACGCACGGCACGCACGAACACGAAACAGAAACCGATTTCCCGGTAGGGGGGCTCTCCGTTCCACTTCGATCTGACCCCCTCACCTCCGACCCAGACGTACACCTACACAGAATTACTCATACACAGACTTACTCATACTCAGACTTACTCATACCCAGACGAACTCATACACAGACTTATTCTTACTCAGACCTACACATACTCAGACCTTCTCATAGTCTGACTTACTCAACACACGGCAGACTTTGAGGATGTCTCAGGCGGGGCGCTGGTTTCAGCACCCCTAAGGGGACCCGCCAGGGGTGTTCTCACGGGCCAGTTCGCGGCCAGTTTGCGGGGATGTCTCAAGCGGTTTGCTCGTTTTCATGCCCAACGTCCTTTGCTTTCTGAACAGATTGTGAGGATGTCTCAGGCGGGGCGCTGGTTCCAGCACCCTAAAGGGAGCCGCCAGGGGTGTTCTCACAGACCCGTTCTGGGCCAGTTTGTGGGGATTTCTCAATCGGTTTGCTCGTTTTCATGCCCAACATCATTGGCTTTCAGAACAGATTTTGAGGATGTCTCAGGCGGGGCAGTGGTTCCAGCAACCCCGAGGGGAACCGCCAGGGGGCACGACACGGGCCCGTTCGCGGCCAGTTTGTGGGAATGTCTCAGGCGGTTAGCTCGTTGTCATTCCCAACATCATTCGTTTTCAGAGCAGTCTGTGGGGATGTCTCAGGCGGGGCAGTGGTTCCAGCACCCAAGGGGAGCCGCCAAGGGGTACGACACGGGCCCGTTCGCGGCCAGTTTGTGCGGATGTCTCACGCGGTTTGCTCGTTCTCATGCCCAACATCCTTTGCTTTCACAGCAGATTGTGGGGATGTCTCAGAATGGGCGCTGGTTTCAGCACCCCTAAGGGGGGCCGCCAGGGGTGTTTTCACAAGCCCGTTCGCGGCCAGTTTGCGGGGATGTCTCCGGCGGTTTGCTCGTTTTCATGCCCAACGTCCTTTGCTTTCTGAGCAGATTGACAGGATGTCTCAGCCGGGGCGCTGGTTTCAGCACCCCTAAGGGGAGCCGCCAGGGGTGTTTTCAGTGGCCCGTTCGCGGTCAGTTTGTGGGGATATCTCAAGCGGTTTGCTGGTTCTCATGCCCAACATCCTTTGATTTCAAAACAGATTGTGAGGATGTCTCCGGCGGGGCGCTGGTTTCAACACCCCTAAAAGGAGCCGCCAAGGATGTTTTCACGGGCCCGTTCGCGGCCAGTTTGTGGGGATGGTTCAGGCGGTTTGCTCGTTTTCATGCCCAACATCCTTGGTTTTCACAACAAATTCTGAGGATGTCTCAGGCGGGGCGCTGGTTTCAGCAACCCCGAGGGGAGCCGCCAGGGGTGTAGTTTGTGGGGATGTCTCGGGCGGTTTGTCTGTGCTGATGCCTAACATCCTTGGTTTTCAGAGCAGGTTGTGAGGATGTCTCTGGCGGTGCGCTGGTTTCAGCACCACTACAGGGAGCCGCCAGGAGGTCCGACACGGGCCCGTTCGCGGCCAGTTTGTGGGGATGTCTCAGGCGGTTTGCACGCGCTCATGCCGAACATCCTTGGCTTTCAGAGCAGATTGCGGGGATGTCTCAGGCGGGGTGCTGGTTTCAACACCCTTAAAAGGAGCCGCCACGGGGTACGACACGGGCCCGTTCGCGGCCAGTTTGTGGGGATGGTTCAGGCGGTTTGCTCGTTTCACGCCCAACATCCTTGGCTTGACGTTACTTGAAATAGAACATGGCAAGACACAAAACATGGCATGGCACCCTCATATCACACGCTCACCATGGCATGACATAAAACATGAGATGCACATATGGGGAGTTCCACGCAGTGGGTAATGTCTGGTCAAAAGGAAGGTAGTTTCCCTCTCTGGGGCTGTCGCGCTCCAGTTGGGGTACTGCTTTTCTGCGAGAGATCGTGGCGTGGGGGGTCCCAAGAACAGAGGTTATGTGGGTGGGGGTGTCGGGGCCAGGTGGGGGGCATCGGTCAGGGCCAGGTGGGGGGCATCGGT